TTGGACTGGGACTATGGGGACATCAGAGAAAGGCAGAGTGCTACAGTAAGAGCCTAAGGCAAAAAATATTTGCTGTCACTAATACTTGTAATTAATGAGTGCTAAATTCATTCAAATCATCGACATGGAAATCATGCAGGAGGACTGAGACAAAATGTATTTATTAAACTCTTGTTTGCTTAAAATATGTCATATTTTGAAAAAAAACAAGGTATGTGGAGATCAGCAATTAATTCTAGTTGCCTTAAAATGATAAAAGCTGGCACAGAGTAGCAGCTACTGAAATGCCTTTTGTTCTGATGGCTTTTTGGCTTGCCTGAAGTAAGTGAGGAAGTATCAACCTGTTTCCCACCTGACACCTTCCTCTCACAAAGCTGGCTTTCCAAGGGGAAGTCGGATGGGGGAGCATAGACCCAGATGCCAAAACCAGGAGGGAGGTGGCACAGAGTAGTTAATTTTCCATCTGATCAGAGGTTGTGCTCTTTCCCACCACCTCCCTACCAGTGACACTCACCTCTAGAGTGACGCTTACCAAGTTTAAAGAGAGGCATCTGGAAAATGGATGACAAGCAAGAAGGCTTGCCTGGCCACACTGTACTGATATCTTTACTAAAGTTGCTGTTGAAAGGGATGCTCTTGGGAGCAAAGGAAAAAAAGCAGAAGTGATGTGAAAGGCAATACATGGGCCCAAGAGACAGGAGCATCAGGAAGAGAGACTACCCTGAATGTCAGGGGAAAGTTGGGGAGTGAAGAAAGGGTAGCTAGGCAAGTCCCCCACCACTAGAGTGTTTGAATCATTGCCCTAAAATCAAATCAGCCAGGGCCTTACTCAAGATACTGGCACTCCCATGGTCTGTGCTATGGAAAAAGATAACATTTTCCAATGCTTGTGCAGCTCATTTTTCCTCAAAATCGAAACAATTTCTTAGCAAACATCCCAGCAGGAAAATGAGAAAATACTTTCAATTATGTGACATTATTTTCCTCCCTGTTTCCCATCCTGTCCTACAGTCAAAAAACAATTAAAAAACACTTTTCATGCTTAGTAAATACAAAATACAGACAGCTCTGCAGCTCAGATCTGCCATGACAAGTATTGCCAGGAGAAAATATTTATGGCAGCTATAAGTCCTTATTTTAAAAGGGTTTCTATTTCTAATAAACAATAACGATGCTACCAGGCACTGTTATAATTAGAAAACACTAGAGGTCAGTTATCCTTTCTGCTATGCAAGTGCATTTCAATATGATTACAAACAACAGCAGGATGTTAACAGCAAGGCAGGGATGAAAGAGAGTTACTTACATACTCAAGCATGAGGATGTCACTATAAGGCCGGAAGAGTCAAGCAATCAAATCCCTAAGACCACCTGTCCTCTTTTGAGGTGGGACTGAAACAAGTTCTTCATGCACCTGGACAACCAAAGCAAATGAAGCAACCAAAGCCAGTTAGAAGTACTCAGCTATCCATTATGTTGGACTTGAGAACTGTGATTGTTTAAACATAAAATATTTATATCATGTGTGCCTTGATCTTAGCCCATGCCAAGGAGAGATGGGTATGCCAACCACACAGTACACTTTACCTTGTGCAGAGGGAGTAACTCAGCTGCAAACAGAAAAAAATCTGCTGCTTCAGTATGATTCTTTGAAATCTTTCAGTACACCTCCAAATAAGCTCAACCCTGCACAATTAGTAGCGTATAACATACAGACAGCACCAGATTGCAGACTCTGGGCAGCTACCTCTGCAGCCAGCAAATAATCTAGTTCTCACAGCTTCAAGATTTTGCTTATTCGAGCACAAGAGACAAGGCAGTTCTAATGTGACTCTGGAATGGTCAAAACAATCCTAAGAAAGATGGTGGCAGGTCCCCCTGCTACACATGCTGGTTTTCCCTTTCACCATGCCAGCTTCTTGGACCTCCAAGCCTTAGTTCTACTGCTCTGATCTTACCTATCCCATGGACTTAGCATAAAAGGCTGCAATCAACTGCAAGCAGAGAAAAACCTGTAGGGAATCAGCAAGTTTCTTTTCCTAATTGGCAGGATATATATTATACCAATAACTTCACCAGCAGATGATCTTTTGCATCTGATGGTTGTTGCCTGCAGGATCAAATCCCCACAGACTTTGCCTGGCAGAATGAAAAGGAAAATCATTCCCCAATCAAGTCACTGCAGTTACACACAGTGCCTACATGCATGAGGAGAAAGGTTTGTTGACTTCTTCCAATGTGCCTCCTACTGATGCAAGATTACGTATTTCTATGGGGAACCAAAGCAAAGCAGACTGAAAGTCATCTTGGTTCACCCAGGCTGGCTTCAGAGACAAGGCCTGTCATTCAGCTAAAGAGCACACTGGAGTTGCAGGATTAAAGCCTGAAGTTTTTACAGAGCCAATGCTTCAATCCCATTGTTAGACAGCTAATTAAGACTGAATGCATCTAACTCCAGCCTGGCAAGGCACCAAGGAAGGGTGGCAATCCCCAGGCCATGTGGGGATACTCTGTGGTACAGAGCAGGGTTTTTCTGGGGATTCTCCCACTACACGTTAGAGCCAGAATTCTTCCCAGATATGTATCAGCATGGATCCAATTCTAACAAAAAATGTCCACTGCATTTTCAGATTCAACCAGCTGCTTCTGACTGGCTTCCTGCCTCTCCCTACCAGGAATACCCTGACCCTTCTAACACTATATGGATTGTCTATGACCTTCCTGGTGAATTGTGCCAAGATCCAGGGTCTATCCACTATATCAGTCCTCCCCACTTCCACAAAGCTCCCTGTGCTGTGCCAGATGTCACAGAATACAGCTGGAACTAAATGCCCCCTCAGTCAGCACTCTTACTCCCCTCTTCCCCAAGTACCACATGTGTTCAGTTACAGCAGGAAGGCAGCATGGGGCCTATGGTTCCTCAGATCTGGCACTTTAATATCACCCATATGAATTGTAATGCAATCTCATTAAGGTCAAAAGAAGCTTTGCCACCAACTCTGTAGGAGCAGG